ATTCTTGTTCTTTTTTCTTCTTTTGAAAGCAAGTAATGTTGCCTTCATTTTGCATGGTCTTAAAGAACATTGCAATGTGCAACAATTCAATTTCTTTTTCAAAGACGATTTCTAGATTAAAAAGTAATTGCATACAACGCATAAGCAGACTTTAGGGCAGGGATCGGTATTGCAATCTCTCCTCTCCTAATGTTTAAATCACTTAGCTAGAGACATGCAAATTATCTCTGAACCATAAGTATCTCATTAAGATCTCCTGGGAAATAAATGCTGATTGTACACTTTTGAAGAACAAAAGTCTGCAAAGTTCACAACACATTTTCATCAATGGCTCAGACATGCAAATAATGCATTATCAGAAAATGTGAAGGTATGTGACACTATTTGAACATGATCAGCATTTAAAATTTGTGACCAGGATTACTAATGAATTTCACAAACTTCCTCACATTATATGGTGTCACAAACTGGAGTCCTTTCATTTTTTACTTAAAATATAAATAAGTATTTGCACCAAATCACATATTAAAAATCCCATTCCAATCATCGGTCAGTGGATGTCCTTAGGTATGTGATGACCCCCGTCAGTGACACTACTGACTGAAGCTCTCCTGTCCCTTGAGATTTACCAGTCTTTCCCCAATGCTCTTACCAATGCACACAGAGAGACACACTACTGCGGTATCAAAATGTTAAAAACCATATTCCTTTATAGCAATAACTATTGACCATAAAAGAAGCATGTGGTTTTGAAAACAAACTCATCAAAAGGTATAGTGATAAAAAGAATCACAAGTCCTCTTCTGAAGGTGATCATATGTCAAGTTAGCCTGGCTGGCTCAATTTCCTCATCCCAGGAGGTGAAAGCTTTGAGATATTGCTCATTGGAATATTACAAAGAGTAGTGATCCTAAATCTCACAGTCACTTATCAGGGATGAAATTGCACACTCAGGACTTAAATTAAAAGCTCTTGCTGTGACATCAGGTGGTAATCCCATGGGCCAGTGGGACCAAAATGCTAAAGAACAGACAAAATTCCTAACCAAATTGAATTTTGACTCATCCACATTTTGGGAAGGTGGAGTTGGTATAATGGAGCCAGGCATATTTAATGGATGTAAACCAAAAAGATGAAAGAGACACCATGGATTGTGGTTTTCATCAAACGCCAGGATAAGTCCAGGCAATAAACATAAACAGTAAACAAAACAATTTCACTAGTGGGAACACAGCCATATGAAAAAAAAAAAAATTAATGTAGCAACTAGTTAGTAAACGTACAAGAACGTCTCAGATCCTCCAGGCAGCCTGAGAAAGCTATAAAACCTCTTGCTCTTCAGAGCCTTCCTGCCTCTTCCCTTATCCCTGTATGCACAGCAGACGCTACAATTCTGGTTTCAGCTTTACAAAATTTGGTATTGAAATACATTTTCACCGACAGCAGTAGCAAATACTTAGTGCCCTGCAAAACCAGCTTGTGTTATTCATTTTTCTATGGGACCAACTTGTTCCAGCTATTCGGTGATAGATGCAGTTTATCAGTTTAACAGATGCAAGTTTATCAGTTGAGAAAAAGAGCATACAGATGGTTCTTTCATTCAGAGCATGGGTACTCTACCATGCGCTGCTTTTTATGCCGCTGTTTTATTGTCTAGTACTATCTGCTATTGCACACATGCTGCCTGATTACGTAGTCCCCAGTCTAATACAGTATGACATTTCCAAAGCAAACACAATAACAACTTGAGAGGCAGCTCCTGAGCTTGTCTTGCCTAGAAATTTTTTTCCGTAACATAATAATCTAGATCATATTCTGCAGCAGTGAATGAAACGCTTTCTGGTTAACTACAAAACCAACAGAGAAACCTTTTACTTTGGGACAGTGCTATACTTGTTGCTATGATAAGTTTTAACCCAAAGAAAGCAGTTCGGGACAGGAATGAAGGGGGAAAACGATGCTTAAGGATTGCTTTTGCTCTTTGTTTTGAAGAAATGAGCTGCATACTAGACCTTTCTACTACAATTTCTGAATGCTTGAAGGAAAGATTCTGCCTTTGGAAAGAGTCTACATGCACAGGGGTTACCTCTGCAGAGAGGTTTGGTGCAGTTGATTAGAAGAAAGCTTAACATAGAATTGCACAAGGGGATTGCAAGAGTAGGAAAATGTACTTTGTCATGAGAAATGTCACTATCTGTCCACCTGAATATGTTAAAGATACCTTCACTGTAGTGCCTCAGCCATAACTCTTTCCAGCCATATCGATACTGCGGAATTGTAACTTCTCTGCTGTGTTAGATACGCAGGTTGATCTCCATAAGAGAAAGCTATTTTACAACAACTGCAAATGAATGATGACTTATTTGGAATGCATCCTCTTTGATCAAGCAATAGCTTCAGTTGAGATGGCAAAAAATATATTACACATTTAATTCAGACCAACCTTCTGCTGTATTATAATATCAAACTGCTAACTTTCCATTCTCTTCTGTTGTTTATTAAGAAAACCTGTTCCTTAAAATTATTAATTCTTTCATGGAACTGACGTACCTCCTTTAATTTAGCTCCACTAATGACTGTAGTCAATATAACTTTGTCAACATCTTTCCCTGGTTTTAATTACAGTTCCACATCAGTCTGTACAGACACAGACAAAGACTCCAAGCAAGAAATTTCACAGATATCAGGCTGTGAGTCGTATGGGCTGACAGGACAGTGAATCATCCAGAGCCTTCAGGCAGAGCTTTTCAAACTTTCTTTTTTTAGGGATGTATTGGGTCTGGCTGAGATGGAGTTAATTTTCCCCATAGCAGGCCTCATAGTGCTGTGCTTTGTATGAGTAGCTAGAAAGGTGTTGCTAACACACCAGTGTTTTGGCTACTGCTGAGCAGTGCTGGCACAGCATCAAGGCTGTCTCTCCAACATTCCCTCCCCTCACCAGTAGGCTGGGGGTGGACAAGATCTTGAGAGGGGACATAGCTAGGACAGCTGACCCAAATTGACCAAAGGGGTATTCCCTACCATAGGACTTGTGCTCAGCAATACAAGGTAAAAGAAAGGAGGAGGAAGGGGGGGGCATTTGTTATTTATGATGTTTGTCTTCTGGAGCAACCGCTACGTGTACTGAAGCCCTGCTTACCCGGAAGTGGCTGGACATCACCTGCTGATGGGAAGGAGAGAATAAAATTTTTGTTTTCCTTTTGCTTCCACGCATGGTCTTTGGTTTTGCTTTTATTAAACTGCCTTTATCTTGACCCACGAGTTTGGTCTGGGTTTTTTTTCATCTCATTTTCTCCCTTCATCTGTCCTGCTGAGGAGGAGCGTGACAGAGTGGCTTGGTGGCACCTGGCATCCAGCCGAGGTCAACCCACCGCAAGGGACCAAAGCTCCCAGTCTCTAAACATTACCTGTATTACAACACAGATAATCAAGCTGGAACAAAGCAACGCTTGATAAAGTTCACATCTACTAGGCACAACAGGTAGGAGTCAGTTTATAAAGACACGATGAGAAAGGGTTAGAACTTAAAATCTCTTTCTCCCAGATGTGCTTTCCAGGCCAGTAAATTTTAAAGGCCAATTCCTTTGCAAAAACACCACAAAGCCTTCTCTTCCTCCCCTCTAAGACTTACCAGGGCTTGATCTCAGCTGCCAAGCGGTGCTGCACCCATCAGAAAGGTCTAGGCTGCACTCAGAGAGCTGCACCAGCTTGCTGCCTCTGTCCCACCACCTCTGCCCTGAGGAAGCTCAGCTGTGCTCAGGAAAAGCATAATCTCTCCCTTCTTTTAAAGGGGTCTTCCTAGGTACCGCAGATAGGGTAAGGCAAGCCACAATCTTCTTCCAGGTTGCCCAGGTCATAGCACATATTTGTGCAGCAAGCTGAGAACAGATGAGTGGAGGTAGCACTTCAGAAAAAGGTTTATCCCTATAATTTCTAGTGTTCCTCATGCCCCTGTAGCTTTTCCTGCTGTGTTTCTCTTCTCTTTTCTACATAGATACTCGTGTATTACATCTACAAGGACAAGGAGAAACAGTATTCCTGTCAGTGACCTTTTCCTTGAAATTAGGCTATCCACTGCTCGCTGAAGAGGAGCTAATCCCCCTTCTCAAATCAGCTTATTGCCCCATTCTCATCCCTCTTCAAAGACATCCATCTCAAAATAAACATTTTCTCACAACAGAGCTATATTAAAACAGTTAAAGGGCCTTTTTCCATCTCCATGGTACAGTAGGTAAAGGGTCTTTAAAGCATAAACAGAAGCAGCTCTGTTACTTTAAGATTTCCTGCTTATGCAGCAACAGGAGCTGCACCCATTACAGGTGAGCATCATCTCTTTCTAGCCTTTGATAAATTCTCTCAGGCTGGATGTACCATGTATAGACAAAAAGAAAAAAAACTTTTTCCACAACTGAAATCTGACTTGTTCTCCTTTGGCAATGAAGTTATTTGCACAGTGTTTCCTGGAACTAATGACTTGCAAAGGGACCTGTTTCACCACAGACAAGCTGGAAAAGGGGCTGGGAGAAGAAAGAAGTACAGGCAGACTCAGAGTATGATGCAGCACAAATTTAATGAGGCTGAGGAATGGAAGGAAGCAATGTAAAGTGTAAGGAATACGTTTCCATGATCCACTAAGGACAGTACCCACTCATCCCTCTCACAATAACACATTCACCAAAATGAGATCTTCCTTCTTCATTGTTTAAGTGGACTGCACTGAGTCATGCAGAACGATTTCTAACAACGTATTTTACCTAGTCGTTGTCAAATACACAAAAGCATTAAAGAACGAGACATTTGATCAGAAATATAAAGTAAAGCATAACAAAAGTAAGACAAGCAAAGACCTGATTTTAGGAGATGCCAAGCTCCCACAGCCCCATTAACTTCAGGTTGTGGGTGTCTAACATTGCATCTGAAAACCATGGCCATGAGCTCAGTCCTGCGTCGGGTCGTGCTTCAGCGTTCCTGGTCATGTCTTCCTGCTTGCTCCTCACGCTTTAGCACGGCCCATAGAAGCCACTGCGGTAGGTGTTGTAGCGACGATAGGGCCGGCTGTAGCCACTGCCCCGGCCTGAATAGCCAAAGCTCCCAAATCCCAAGGAGCTGCCAGAAGAGATGGGGACCCCTCCAGCACTGAGTGCGCTCCCGACAGCTGCAGATGCTGAGGATCCCACAGCGGTGTTCTGGGGGAAGGAGCTGAGGATGGGTCCGGGCAGGGTCACCACCACGGGAGAAGGCTGGATCACCACTGTTGAGTCCTGGCACTGCCTGACACAAGGCTCGTTGCAGCTATTCGCCAGCGGGGTTGGGCCGCAGGGAGTGGGTGGACACAGGTCGTAGCAAGACATGTCTGTGTGGTGGAGGTAAATCTGAAACACAAAAAGAGAAAGAAATGCAATACAAGAATTTAAATGAAACTATTTGTACAGCTGAAATTCTCTGCTGAGGGGAGGATATAACAAACTAACAAGAGATTCCATGGGGAGCAAGATGACATTTTTCACCAGATCCAGAGGAAGTACTTTGAAAACAGGGTTGAGCTTGCATTTTCTTTAAGGAGACTGCTAGGGAAGGTAGCACTGGTGCATCTCAGTCAGGAACTTATCCTGAAGCCTCTGTGGTTAGTCAACTCACCCAAGAACCAGGGTATATGCTGGTTTTGAAAGCCTCTTCGTTCACATTGCAGAGTGCCCTAACCACACGGTCATAAACCTACCTTAGGAAAAGGCACTTCCAACACTTCCCCTTGCAGCTGAGACTGCACACAGGAAAAGTATTAGGGCTCTGTGTGTCCTAGAGAAGTGGAGGTTGACTCTGCAGCCTTCAGATGAAGGTGCTCTGCTGGAATGAGTAAGACTCAGCTTGTTATTCCTGATCCAAGGCTTACCTCTTTGCTAAAGAGTCAATGATGACAAACATCCTACCTAATGCTAATACAGCAAATAACCTTTCCCATTTTGTTCCTACCGCTTCTTCTTATGCATGTTCCACAATGGAGGTCCCTTCTCCCAGTTTTAGAAAGTGGAAAATAGAGGCTTAAGCACTTAAAATCTGTTCAATAAGAAATAGAAAGACAGGCAGCTGAATTCAGGAACACATATATTTTAGTGTATTGCTATTAATATTATCAGCAGATCTCAGAAGCTACAGTGCAAACCTCTCCATAGTTGTTTGGAAGATGGAGAAGCAACTGGTCAAAGGTCACTCCTTGCCACTACTCTGAACAGACCCAAGAATTCACTACAGGTATTTTGTGTTCAGCTGCAGGACCTGAAAACTTGTTTGGATCCCCAAGTTGAATAAATAGACCTAGCTGGCTAACTTGTGGCTAAATGCCCCGTTCAATGATTTTTATAACTGACCACCAACAGAAAACTTCCTCTTTCATATGAGAACCCCTTCATCCCTCAGAGAAAAAAGCTGAATGTACTACAACATTAGTGAGGAAAAGTTACAAAATCATCAAGGCAACAGTTCAACATATAAAGAGAGAATAAATGGGTTCAAACTTACCTTATTCACCAAGGCAAAGAAGGCAAGAGAAATGGATGGAAGAACCTTGAGTTGCTCAGGTTTTTATACTGAGTCCCAAGTTGCCCAACAACTTGGGACATTCTTTGTGCATCAAGTTATTTATTAGCCACTACTGATTACATGTTTTTTTGCCTCAGTATTTGTGTTTATTACTGCTTCACTTCCTTATCTTGTGGCATGTATATCTGACCACAAGTTTCTTTCATCTTAAAATATTCCAGGCCAAGTTAATTTCTGGGAACACTAGAATGATTAATTCAGAAGAATTTATTCTGCCTTCAAAATCCTTTTGGATCTGCCTTGTGTCATTAAAGGAGATTAAGCATCATTTACATAACGCAGTCCCTTGTACCCTCCTCCGCAAGGTAAATACTGTTGGAAATCATGAAGAATTTCAGCTTGTGGAAGTCAACCCATAAGCACTTGTAGTTTGGGGATTCAAGCTGCTTTTAGGGAAAAGAGAAGAGGGACTAATTTTTTCAGAAAATGGCCAAGAATACACACAATTTTCACCCAACTCCATCCCCAAAATGAGAGAAGCAGCACAAATACTGTTAAAAGGGAAGGACACTGAAGAACCCTGTGAGAGTTGGGAGGAATTGAAAAGTGTTATGGCTGTGTACAAAGGCTGAGATATAACTAGAAAAGCACCTAGGATACCGCTTCTTTGACACAGGAGAAGAAACAAAACAAAACAAAGAGTATTAGAAGTCCCATCTAACGAGATAATGTCAAATGATAGCACGTCTGTGGAAGAGTCGGAAGCACAAATCTTATTAATACGGGATCTTTCCTGGCTGTCTCTAATTCTGGGCCTGATCTCTTTTGAATTCTTTATCTAAAGAATGCACAAATCCACTTTTATTCTTATCTCAGACCTCAAAACACCAGCAACTGTTTTTAGGTTAACTTCTACATGCATAAATATGTTGCATTGCTCAGTGACATTCCTTCTCAAGGAAGAGCTTTGCAAAACTCGGCTGTAGAGGCAGAAGTCACCACCTACAAGAATGAATTTTTCTGTCACTTTACAGCCATCTTTGGATTACACAATGAAATTGAGCCTCTTCTATCGGGGGGGCTTGCAGGATTGATAATAAAGGGGTAAAATACACAAGCAATCCTAGACACAGAGATTAGTACTGAGGTTTTTGCTCTCCTAGCACTTTTAACTACTGAGACATGTAAATCATCTCTAAATTAGGAGTGTCTTTGTGAAGATCCTCTGGGAACAGAAACTTGTTTAGCTTGATCATAGGTTCCTGAGAACTTCAAAGTTTATCAGAAGCTTTTATTAAAGTGCTAGGCATGCAAAGTATCATATTATGTGCAAATTTAAGATATGAGACCCATATTTGAATTCTCATATCATTTCTGTAATAATATATTATTAAGATTTGGGAGTGCAGGTCAGTCATTGGGTTCTAAAATTTGTATTTTAGCCAGTTCCTGGCTGCAGAAATTACAGCTATTTTATTTTTAATTAAAAAATAGCTCAAGGTTTGGTTTAAGCCATCTCATATTTCAAAGAGATTCTCAAATAAGTTGCCCTAGCCTTTTTTTAGCTTTACCAACCCTGTCCACTTCTCAGTACTTCTCCATATTCTAAGGGATTAGCAGGCTTTTTCAAAAATAGTTTCCTCTATAACAGCTGGTATCTAGCAGCTACGTGAGGAATTAATTTGCATAACAGTACCCATGGAATATTTTCATCAATTTTTGCTATTCTTCCTTCATCCAAGCTCTGCTTGGAAAACATAAAATACTTTTAAAATCAGACTATGAGTTTAAAAAAAGGATCTCCAATGTTTTCAGAGATAACCACAGCCTTCCTTGAAAATAATTACAATAATTATTGTTCTGACTCCAGCCACTTTATTGTACAGTCAGAATGACTTAAAGGCCTGATCTTTGAGATGAATTAAAGTGAGTGAATAAGAAGTTCACAGCTTTCTTTGTATAATAAAGGACAGACCTATATATTCAGATTATAATTAAAACTCCTTGCATAATGTGAGAACATCCTCCTGAGACACCTGTGAGTGACTATATGTCTGAAAAAAAAAAAAAAAATTCTTAATCAAAATGGAAGTGGAAGCTTACTACAGTAATCCCCACGTCATGGCTCCGGACATAAAAGTGACCCCAAAATCTGTGCATGGAGAAACAGACACAGAAAAAATGGAAGTTTCCCTGGCAAGGAGAGTCATCTGCAATAAATTTTGAATTGTAATTAATTAGCTCCTTATAAAGAAATGAATACCTCAGAGGCTTTGAACAGTTGAACAAATCTGTAAAAGTTGTTGCAACTCAGAGCCCTCCTGTGCCATTCCCTTCTCACATCATTCACAACAGCTCTGATAGTTCTTGCTTTTATCTCAGACTTCGTTCTTAGCTAATTGTACTAATATAGATGCTTATTGACAGCATTAGCAACAGCCTGCCTATCCTACACAGCTGTTTGAAATTCACACAATAATCTAGGGCACCTGGTTCCAGGCCACTGAGAGTGAACCCTGCTAATGCCCTCACAGTATTAGCAATTTCTGGCTTATTGCTTAAAACAGAAGATGTATCTGTAGCTTAAGGTTGTTTAGTTCAGTCAGACTGGATGTCTCTGTACAGCATTGCTGTTTCTATTGCAACCCACCACTCATTATTTGCTGTAATTTGTTGTTTGGCCCAGGCAGCTGAATAGTACATGCTGTATGTGTAACCTGAGTTGCCTTTTGGTGCAGGCAGAACCTGTGACTTGAGCTTCACAACTTCAGTTTCTGCTGCTCAAATAGCTCCCCTGAAGGCAAAGGTGTTCAAATATAGGTAGATATGTAGTCCTCAAAGTTCATACTTTAACACAGCTATTTTCATTGTTAATGTTATTCAAATACTGTTATGAAAAACTTTTAAATGACTAAAGTTTGAGGTTTGGGGTTGCATCTTACTGTGGTCTAATAAGCTTAAACAATTTATGTTATGATTTCCCTTTTTGTCAAAAAATTAACGTAACTAACTACTGCGTACAGATCTGTGGAGTATTTCTGCAAAGAGCCAGGTGTAGTGTGGTCGTTATGCTGGAATTCAACGGCGAACAGCAGAAGAAAACAACAACAAAAATTAGTTTACGCTGGAGGGAAGAAATTATTTGCTCACCAGAACCTTTGCAAAACACCACACCCAAAGTGGGCGGGCTTTAGTTATTTTTCAAATATGTTTGAATAATTTTTCAAATGCAGATTTAAATTATATTTCAAATTGTAAAAGTGCAATTAGTATTTCTCTACCCATGGCCCTGTGTGTCAGATCCACCTTCCTTGCAGAACAATGTCTTGGTGCTACCAGGACTGATGAACGTGTACTTGTAATCCATCACCTCAGAGCAAGGGATTGCCTGTAATCATTGGTATAAACACTTTTCACAAGGCATAAACCCTTTTCACAAGGCATCCTTTCTGCCAAGGGCTACGTGAGGTATCACTCACCTGCATTTTGCTGCAATTACATGCCAGGTCCCTGATTTTACATTTGCTTCCATTAGTCACTCAGGAAGGAAAAGATCACAGCCTACTTGTTTGGGGCTGGAGACCCAGGACTAACACACATTCATTTAAAGTCTTTCCATCCCAGTAAGAAGAGGAGGGTTTTCATACTCAAAATAAACTTTGAAATTACAGACTTTTGCATGGGGTGAAAATTTAGCCTGTCATTTAACTCCACAGATGCCTGCAATCAGTGAGTGCACATAAGTACCTCTGCCAAACCAACTATTTCAGCACCAGCCCATGATGATCCACACAGAGGCACCAGGAGCTTGGCT